ATTAATATATTCTTTGGTTAAACCTCTTTAGACTATATCTAGGTAATCTAATAAGCTCAGTTGATTTCAAGCTCTATATATTCCTTTTGAAAAGTAGAATTCATAACTGTGCAAAGTCCTTTCGTCAACAATATGTAAATAAAAGAGGATCCAGAAGTAAATAGATTTTTATTCTCATATAAACTTTTTTGTTACTGCATAAATATATAAAAAGTGCAGATAAGCTGTAAAAAGACAGACATGAATTTTCAAAGAATGAATGCCCTTGTGTCACTATGTTCTATAACAAGAAATAGAACACTTACAATATGTCTTTCCATCAAGTTACTAACCTCAGAAAAATCTACTAGCTTTAGTTCTAACATATACATAAAGATGTATATATGTATGTATATATAACATTACTATGTGACATACGTTATATATATTTGTTGTTCTTGTTGCACTTGAACTTTACAAATACAATAATATAGTTGCATCTTCTATGTTTGATCTCTGACTCAACTTTATTCTATGGAACCTATCCATAGATAGCAATTATTAGTGCTTTAGAGCATTCAATTACATGACAATACAATTTTTTTAAGTGAGGTTGCTACTGATGGATATGTGAACAGTTCTATTTTTTGCCAGTTATAATAATGCTGCTATGAATGCTGTATATCTTTTGGTGAAAATAAGTCCTCACTTTTGTTGAGAATTTCACCTTTGAGTAAAGTTGATGGACCACAGTAGATGCCTTAAGCTCTAGTAGATATTACCAACAGTTTTAGAAAGATTACATTATTTGTGTTTCTACCTTAGTGTCATGCTAATATAATGGATACTATTAACTTGCTCTGAAACTGATTTGTTCCGGAATATACCCTTCAGAGCAACAGAAACTCTAGTCCCTGCCAGGCATGAAAACAGCATATGAAAGGAGAAGGGCTCACTTTTTTGCAAGCAGGAAGCCTTGCTGGTAACAAGTCTGAACTGCCACCTCTACCAGCATGGTTCTCACCACCAGTGAGATACATCAGAACAAAACAGGAAAGTGTGACCAGTCAGGTCAGTGGCTGGTCATGATGGACTTGCTCTGAAGACTGAAAGAAACTGAAAATTTTAAGATTCTAGTCCAGGAAGGTTCTGCCAATCAATAAAGAGGATAGACTCAGTACTAAAACCTCAAAATCACACAACCTGTTTCAGCTCTTCTCCATGATCACATTCTGTCTCTGCTCCCTCCTTGCCAACCCCTTGATTTCTCTCTTTGGCTTCCCATTTGAGTTGATCTATTTCAAGAGATTATCTCAATGTTTGGCAGTATCTTCTGATCTGCTTTCTCATTTTGGTCTAAATTTCCTCTCTTTATCCACCTCACAAAAATAATTAATTTCCTTTGTTTTAATCAGCATTATTGAGGTTCTATGATGTGCCAGACGCTGGACTAGATAAATTATCTGGTGTCTTGTTGCTCAGATATAGTTTAGCTTAGGGTAAAGAAAAGGGTAGGGTATAAGTCATTGTCTTTGGGAGGAGTTAGTCAAAATAGAAAGATCATTAGTGATTTGGATACTTTGGTTTCCTTTTAGTCCTGGCTTCTGGGGCATGGAGTTCAAGATTTCTGATTATTAGTATGCTGAAGAAGAAAGGGCTATGATTCCACAGAACCTACCTTATCTATATTTTCTTAAATTTTACCAGTGCAACCTTTTATGCCTTAATAAGGGGATGTGATGTTTATGACATCTTTCCCAGGAGATTGCAACATCCTTCTTTGTTTGCTCTTTGGTTGATAGATTCCCTCTGAAAATTGAGCAGAGCTGGAGCTGGTGGTTCACACGCCTCCTGCAGCTTCTTAGTTGTACCTGCTTCCCTTTTAACTACTCAAATTTTGGGAGCCCAGACTGAACAAAATAAGGGCAACAGCATGTTTTAATAATTTGTTAAGCTATTTCTGCTGATGTACTGAAAATTCACATTTTCCAAATTTAAAAGTCATTCATTTATTGGCAACTTAAAAAAAAAAACAGTAAAAAAGGCTAAATTAGATTTGGGGATGGAATTTTAGGTTGAAAGAAGGACACAGTTAACTGTAGATCTTGAGAAATGACTGTTGGTTTTGCTATCTCTTGGTATTAGCTATCAAATTTGGGGCCTTGATCATTCTAGGAAGGTGTTCTACCAGAGCTGCATCTCCAGTTCAAATAAAATATGAAAAATCTTATGAACTCTCGCACCACAAAAAAGGCAAGGTGAATTTTTTCGTTTCTTTTGTCAGTCGTGGGGCCTGAACTCTGGGCCTGGGCGCTGTCCCTCAGCTCTTCAGCTCAAGGCTAGCGCTCTACCACTTGAGCCACAGTGCCACTTCCGGCTTTTCCTGCTTATATGGTAGCGCCACAAAAAAGTATGCTATGGAAAAAATATGCTGTAGAAACATGGCTGATAATGGAATCTTTTCAATTGGAAACACAGATTCAGAAGGTGAACATCTAATTACTATCTAATTTCATTATTTCATTGGAAACTGGCCTCCAAGGCACTACAATTAAGATTTAACAAACTCAAGGATAGATCCTAGATCTCTTGATTTCTACCATAACCTATTTACTTTCCTGAAAAAACAAAAACCTTTATGTTTTGATTTCAGCGCATTTCTTCTCACATAAACCATTGTTACTCTATGTGAATATTTGAAGGTTTGGGCTCTTACTGCATAGTATATTTTTTAAAAGAAATTTCTCTGTAGAATTGACATGAAAGTATCTAAATTTCAAAACCATTGCCAAAGTCCTACTCATGCTTGCTTTATTATGTTTCTCCTGGGAATTAAACTCTGAATTACAATTTAGTCTCTTGACAAAGAAAGTATTTGTAAGAAGTAAATCCACATTTTCCTCAACTGTAATATATGACTATCTCATCCCCATTTCTTTGTGGCTTTTTAATGGTTTTTTTGTTTTTTTTTTTTTTAACTCAGGGCTTCGTGTTCACTAGGTAGGTGAACAATCCGGCTTGACCAGACCGCCAACCCTTTTTCCTCTCGTAATTTCTGAGATAGGGTCTCTTATTTTTGCCCAGGTAGACCTATACCCAGGTCCTCATATTTATCCTTTCATGGCTGGGATGATAGGCCCATACATATCACCACACACAAATTTTTCTCTTCAGATTGATTCTCTTGGACTTTTTGCCTGGACTTGTCTCCAACTCCAATCTCACTCTCCCAAGTGACTATGAGAGTAGCTAGGATTATGGGCAAAGTGCTGAGTGGAAGCTACTTACTTTTCCGTCATGAAACTTCATTAGTCTGTCCAAGAATTCTTGGATTAGGCTACATTAGATATCTGAGAAAAATCAGGAAATTGTGCTCAATGTAAACTGTAGAACAGTGTGTGTGTGTGTGAGAGAGAGAGAGAGAGAGAGACCGAGAGAGAGATGGTAGATATAAATAATACTTAAGAGAAAACTAAAGTTTTCACAATTCAGAAAAAGCAGAAATTGAAGAAACTTGGTAAAGCAATCTCTCAATGACACTTCCTTGTGGCATTGATTACATAAAACCAACACACAAGTAAGCCTGTTGAAAAACAGAGAGGGCAGCTAAAGTAAATATTTTGTTTATATATTATAAAGTTTCTTTTTAAAAAATCACTTAAGTAGCTTTAAGTAAGCAAAATCCACTAGCCTATGTTAAAACAAGATGTGACATATCGGACAGGTTACTTATTGGCAAGAGGTGAGTGAAGGATAGAAATGGAAAGTTCTAGGGCAGTGCCTGTCATTTTGGTTGCCTCTAAAAGTAGTTTTCCCACGGATTGTGATAATCAGCTGATGCTTTCTCCATGTTATTCCAGCCCATGTGAAACTACTGGACTAGAGCTAAAATATTTTAGGAGCTCCTGGTTCCATTCCATCCAATGGAAACCAAAACTAATAAAACTCAAGTCCCCCAGACTGGTGCCAGGTATGGAAAACTGAGGTCATGTGTAGTTTCTCATTCAAACAGGAAGCATAGCCAATAAAAAATAATAATAAAGAGGACACAATTCGCTCATTTTATTTTATATTCGTATCAACAGCCTTCAGAGGAAGTGCGGGCATATTCAGAATCTTTCTTCAGAATCTTAAAAATATTTTTTTCATATACAGAAGGCAGCTGTGATTTGTTGAACTGAGTGATCCCAGGTATGCTAATGTGTCCAAAGGTATTCATGGTGAACGAGAAAACAAAATCAAACAACTACCATCAAAGAAACAGCCTTTTCTTTTGCCATTACTTTTTTCCCGTGTGTGTGTGTGTGTGTGTGTGTGTGTGTGTGTGTGTGCGCGCGCGTGTGTGTGTTAATCCTGGGGCTTGATCTCAGGACGCTGAGCCCTTGTGCTCAAGGCTAGTACTTTGAGCTCCACTTTGGACCTTTTGCTGGTTAATAGGAGATCAGGGTCTCATGGACTTTCGTGCCCGGGGTGGCTTTGAACCTCCGACGCGCTCCGACCTCAGCTAGTAGCTAGGATGAGTAGCTAGGATGCCCCCCCCCCCGTTACTTTGGGGGACAGTCACAGTTCCTGACTTCACGCTTGGACTCCTGGCGGACGGGAACGCGGTGTTTTACACCTTACTCGTGTGGCCTGGAGCGACGACCGCACATTTGTCGCAGCCCGGGGTCAGCAGCCCCCGCCCGCTCGGCGAAGCGACTCCGATCGCCGCGGGGCGAGGGCCGGGGCCGCGCGGGGCAGAGCCGAGGCGGGGGGGGTCGCGTTCTCACGCAGCCCGGCGCCGCCCTCCGGAGCGCGCGGTTCTGCCGGCACGCAGGGCCCCGGAGCGGTGGGGGGGGGGATCCCCGGCGTCCCTCGGGGCTCTTCCCGGGATCAGCATCCGGAACCCCCATCCACGCCCTGGCCCGGCGCTCGGCGGGGTCCCCGCGCCGACCACCGCCAACTTCGCGGTCCCGAAATCTCGCGAGGCTTCGCTCCGCGCTCCCCCCCCCCCCCCCGCCCCGCCCGCCGGGGTTCTGGTACCAGCGGCTCCCGCTATGGCTGCACTGCGGAGGCTCCTGTGGCCGCCGCCTCGGCTGCCGCCGGCGCTCACTCCTCACCAGCCCTGGCCGGGGCCCTGCGGGCGGCCAGCGGGGCCGCCCCTGGCGCCGCCGGGCCGGCGGCTGTGCGGCCGGGAGGATGAGGAGGGGGCTGCGGCGTGGCGGCGGCGGCGGCGGCGGCGGCGCTGGGGGGAGCTGGGCGTCGCGGCGCTGGCGGGCGGGGGTCTGGTCGGCCTCGCGTGCTACCGTCTGTACGGGGACCCCCGGGCCGACCCAGCGTGGGCTCCCGCGCGTCCCTCCCAGAGCGCGGCCGCCGAGCCCGAGGACCCGCCGCGAGGAGGCCGGGGGCTGCTGCCCATCCCGGTGGCCGCTGCCAAGGAGACGGTAGGTGCGAGTGCGCGTGCGCGCGCGGGGCCGGGCGCGCAGGTGACTCCCGGGGGCGGGGGGCTGCGCTGCCCCACCTGCGCGCGGGGTCCCGGGAGGCGGGGGAGGGGACGGTGCCTGAGACGAGAGGTCACCGTGACACCTGACACTGGAAGTTCTGCAGGCTTCCTGAGCCCCAAGGCCGTGCCTGGGGAACCTCCAGGGCCAGGCAGGCAGCCCAGGCACCTTTCACGTGTAAGTGTCGGGAAGCGGATGATGCTGCCCTTGCTGCCTCTGTACCTCAAAGTTGTTGCATGCTCCCGACCGACCGACCGTTGACCACAATCCAAACCAAACCACCACCCCTACCCTCACCCCCCCCCCCCACCCGGTGGGGGACAGCAGCAACAAAAACGCTTGACCAAGAATGAAAGGGCAGAACAGGACAACAAACAAACAAAAAGACACAAATGTCGAAGAAGAGAGGAGCTGGGACAAGGCAAGATTGGACCTGGCAAGAGAAAATGACCCAGGAAACTGGGTGCAAAATGAGTTTTGAAACAGTGACCTGAAGTCTCAAAAGCCACTGCATTACTGTATGGAAAGAATTAAACCTGCGTAGTCTCCTTACTAAAAAAGAAAGATGTTACCAGATTTACTCTTTTTCTAAAGAGTATATGCCTGTCTTTTTCTCTCATGCAAACCAGAATTCCTAAGGTAGGTGTAGTAACTTAGAAGATAAACCAGACAGCAGAAGGAAGAGACAGTGAATGAAGCCAGTTGCTACATCACACAAAACTCTTCAGCCAAGTGTAAGACATGAATAAGAAAGCATGATTTGTGTGTGTGGCATCAACATATTTACAAGTCATGCGAATGACGAGTAAAATTGTCTAGGGGCATTTTCCTTGCCATGCTGGAAGAGTGAAAGATTTAGGTGACAATAATTGAGAAAAGAAGCAACTAGATTGCTTTTGTGAGTTTCTTTTTTAAGTTAATGCAGTTTTATACTCTTTATATACAGCAGTGATCTAAGTACATCCGTGTAAATTTTGGGTGCATTTAAGTGAAGGGATTTACTTTGTGGATCAGCTTCTAGCAATGAATCATAAGCATGCAACAAAGTACAAAGAATACATAAAATACTAACAGCTTTGTCCTTTACCCTCTTCTCCATATACACCTTATTTTTGTGGCTTAGGAAGGAGAATAGTATTAAACTAGCATTGAATGATTGACTAAGTCAGATCTCAGTGTGTGTATGTTGTGTGTTGTGTGTGTCTGTTGGTACCAGGGCTTCCATTTCGGGGCCTTGCCCTTCTTGTTCAGCTTTTTCTCTCAAGGCTGGTGCTCTACCACTGAGCTACTGAAGTCCCTTTGGTGGCAGATTAACAAGGTAGCAAAAATGCAAATCGTACTTTTTGTTTTTCTTTTTAAAAAATTAACTTTAAAATTGAGAGACCGTATTTTGCCCTTTTTGAAAGACTGCCTTCAACTGGGGTAGGACCCAGTTGCTCCAGCACTTAACTGGTTACATCATTTTGGATACATTAACCTCTCTCTCTATATATATCCTTATGTGTAAAAGAAGTGATGGTTTCATACAGTATTAAAGAGCCAAATTAATTAATACATTTGGAACAGATTGGTATACCTGGCATAAAGTGAACATTCAATACATTTGTTTTATTCATTTATTACCTTTTTTCCCCCCTCAAAATGCTAGTCAAGCACTGTATCACTGAGCTAACCCCCAACCTCTTTATTGTCTGTTTTTATTTACTTAATTATTATTGGTTAGTGTGTTCAAAATTTTCTGTATATTTAGAAGTTAAATGACACTGGAGTCCATTCCAAACCTTTCATCCTAAATTTTGATTAGCTTGCTTTTTTATGTAACCTGTGCAATTCAGACTTTGGAGCAGCATCTACATTTCAGTGTTTTATAGTACCTTTTCTTTGGTATCATGAACTTCTCCTAAGAATAGGAGAGTTTGGAGGGGCACACTTATACAAATGTGTAAGAGCATGTGTGTTGGGGAGTATTTAATGCTATATTTACATATTGTTTTATATTCCTGTATTTTCAGTCCTGCCACTTACAGTGCTTCTGTCGCACTGTAAGAAAAGACCTCTTTTCTAGGAGCTTATACAACAAATACTTTGCTTTAATTAGATCTTAGCCACAGTACCCAAGTTTTGCCTCTATTCCCTCAAGTCAATTATCATTTCCTCCACCTCTTCAGTTTTACTACAGTATGGAGAATTCCCTTAATTGTTTGTCTTTCTTTTTCTTAGACTTAATATATTTATACATTTTATATTCCTCTACTGTGATTTTAGTGTGGATATGAAGGGAATATTTGAAAGAAACTCAGATTTATAAGCCTGGAATAGAATTAACTGATAGGAATGAACAACTATAACCTGCTGAAATGTAGTTCCATTACCAGAGCCTTGAAGATTTTTGTTTTAACCTCAGCTGTAAAGTTCCACCAGAAAGTCTTTTCTGATGCTATAGGTTTCATAAAATACCCCTGCTTATCATATACTCAAAAAAAATTTGGCAATTATCTCTTAATTTTTTTTCTTCTCTTTGTCTCAGTTCTTTAATCAGAAGCACTGAAACAGTCTTGGTTATCTTTCTATATTCATTTGGTAAATGTAATTCCTTTGTTTAATTGAATAAATACTAAATATTTGTGTAGGACATACACATTAAAAGGAACATCTAACAAGGTGCTGGTGGCTCATGCCTGCAATCCTGGCAACTCAGGAGGCTCAGATTGAGGATCACAGTTCAAAGCCATCTTGGGCAGGAAAGTCTGTGAGACTCTTATCTCCAATTAACCACCAGAAAACTGGAAGTGGACCTGTGCCTCAAAGTAGTGGAACCCTAGACATAAGCAAAAGAGTTCAGGAACACATCCAGCCCCTTAGTTCAAGCTCCATGGGGAAAAAAAAAGATACATTCACATTCTGTAGGAATTAATATTTTAATATTTTTTCAGCCAAACTAGTTATAGAATTAAATTGGGAAGATTGCAGTCAATGTCATAATTCTAGTCTTTGGTAGACTCAGTCATATGATATAGAATTTAACTGTGCAAGTTTGGTTTGTGAAGAATTTTCAGTAAAACATTGCATTGAACTATACCAATATTATGAGGAGATAATATTTTCCGGATTTGCAGTTGACATAATTTCATTCTTCCTGATGGATGAATAAAATTCCTCTTTGTATAGACATACACGTGTGTATGTATATATTTATATTTATATTTGTATCACATTTTGTTGATCCATTAATCAATCGTACGATATTCAGGCAGTTTCCATAACTTGACTATTGTGAATTGTGCTGCAATGAACATAGGTGTAACAAGTGCTTTTATTATATCCTGTCTTGCAAACTTTTGGATAAATGCCCCAAGAATGGTATCACAAGATAGGGTAGTTCTACTTTTAGTTTTTTAAAGAATCTCCATAGTGATTTCCTTAATGGATGCACTAGTTTGCAACAGTGTATTAGGTTGCCCCCCCCATCCACACCCCCCCAGCTCCCCCAAACCCCTGCTTCCTCACCAGTATTTATTGTAGGTGATGGCTATTCTGATTGGAGTGAGATGGAATCTCAGTGTTGTTTGATTTGCATTTCCTTTCTGTCCAGAGATGTTGATCATTAAAAAAAAATTTTATTGTCAAGGTGATATACAGAGGGATTACAGTTATATAATTAAGATAGTGATTACGTTTCTAGTTTAACTTGTTACCCCTTCCCTGATTTTTCTCCTTCTTTCCCTCCCCACATAACATATTGTCTTGTATCACTGTTGCATAGGTTCCCCCTTTGTCCTTTGTCTCACCATTGTTCCCCTTCCCTTCCGTAATTCAGATAAATGTATATACACTACCCAGGGTACCAAAATCAAATACAGTGACAACAGGGGATAAGCCATAGGGGGGAAAACAAAAAAGAAAAAATAAATCACATAGTAGATTGAGAGCAACGACAACTAAGAAAAATCTCTTATGTTCATATCTTAGAGTTCATTTCGCTTAGCATCATCTTATATGGTCATATGTATATAGCTATAGAGCTATTCTGTTCATCTACTAAGATTATCCTAGACATATACTAATTATTACAAATAAGGGAGACCATTGGCCATTTTTTCATATGTTTATTGGTCATATGAACTTCTTTTGAGACGTGTCTAGCTCCTTTGCCCATTTGTTGACTGATTATTGAATCTTTGGTGCTTTAGATTTCTAAGCTCCTTCTATATTGTAGTTATTAGACCCTTGTTAGATGTACTGCTGGTAAAGATATCCATAAAAGTCCCTTAAATAGCTGGGCCCTGGTGGCCCACATCTGTAATCCTAGCTATGGGCCCTGGTGGCCCACATCTGTAATCCTTGCTACTTAGGAGGCTGAGATCTGAGGATCATGGTTCAAAGCCAGCCCAGGCAGAAAAGTCCCTGAGACTCTTATCTCCAATAAACTACCAGAAAACCTGAAGAAGCGCTGTAGCTCAGGTCGGTCATGGGGCCTGAACTCTGGGCCTGGGTGCTGTCTCTCAGCTCCTCAGCTCAAGGCTAGCGCTCTACCACTTCAGCCACAGTGCCACTTCTGCCTTTTTCTGCTTATGTGGTGCTGAGGAATGGAACCCAGTGCCTCAAGCATGCCAGGCAAGTATTCTACCACTGAGCCCAGCCCCCCCAAAATAAACTTTTAAATATTACAGTGTACTTAGATGAAATTTCAGGAAATTGCTGCTGGCAGGACGGTGGAACAGTGTATGAGTTGTGGCTTACTCAGAAGAGGCAATGAAGTTATTCATTGAATTCTAGGGACTTGGATTTTAATTCCCATGTAGGGATGCGAGACAAGACATATCTTGTCCAAGCAAGTTGGGTCTGAGATACCACCTACCTAAAGTCAGAATTCTTATAAAAAGGATAAATTAAAAATAGATCTTCCCCCAGTATAGGTTGATGACAAAAAATACCCTGATGAT